ATCGAAAAACACAAAGCAAGGCAACGGAGAAAAAAGGCTAAGTGCCTGGCCCACCGACGGCTTCGTTTAGGCGCACAGAGATCCACCTCGGAGTTCGGACGAGCGGACGCACGTCCTTGTTCCGTCACTTCGCAGCACAAGATGGTCCTCTTCGAGGCCCTAACGATTCACCAGCAATGTCGCGACGACAACCTCGAACCAAGCGGCCACGAACCAGCACCTTGGTCCAAACTAGGTCTATGTTCCAACACCACATGCGTGGCACTGGCGGACCTCTCAAGCTACACTTCATGGCAGCTTCGCCGGCTTCTGAGCTGGATCAGCCAAGGATCACCCAAAGCCTGGCAAAAGCAACTATTTTTCTCCACCAATGTTCGGCAGATATACCCCCTCTTTCTCGCTGCTTTGCGGCGTGCCTCGGCCTGTGTGCTCGGAGCAGCTCGCAGCGCCACGCGATCGTGGACGACGGCCCAATCGCTGAGATCCCCTGCAGCCACATGACGGAACATGCGGAGCTTGCCGGACCCGAGCGCTGTCTTTCCGCCTTGCGGCGCCTCGTCGAAGCCAGCCTCGTCCTCAGAACTGCCTCGCAAGCAGGGACGTTCACAAAATTTGAGCCAGGCCAGAAAAGAACCCTGCCTCCATCGGGCGCTGTTGGCGAATGCAGTGCTGGCTTTGCATCCTCTGTGCCAACCGATGTGGCTGAAGACGAAGCAAGAAACACTTGTCCTCAGGTGTCGGGAGCAAAACGGGTGAGCCTGGCACGCGATGTCTGTTGACTTTCATGAAAGAACCTAATCCGGATTTCGGAGCACTGGCTTCATGCAAGCGGTCAAGCTTTCTCATGAATGTCGGTTCCAACAACTTTGAGATGATGTACCGCCATCGATTCGGGAATCCTTTATATCTTGTGTGCCTTGCTGACATTGTTGACCGAGCAGAATTCATGCTTCGTTTCGCAAGCTGCAAAGGCGGGGACAATCAGTCCTTTTCAAGTGGGATTTTCCGAATGGGCCTACCGTACGCAGATAGCTTCGCTTGCAGAAAAAATCTTCAGCAACACCTAGAGCTAGCAACAGGCGGAATTCGGACAAATTATGGTCAGCGCAACTTTAAGACGAGCATCTCAATGCAGCGACGGCGTCAGCGCTGAACCTAGCTTCTGCCACAGCCCGAACAGGTTAACTAGCTGCTAGCTGTTACACGCCATTGCAACACAAGCTCGCTAAGTTGGGCGGAAGTAGAAAACTCATCTGCTCTTCATGCTCGTTGCTGGCCAGGAACGCGCGAAATCCGGCTCGTTGAAGCAAATGGTTTATCCGTGGGACTGCCAGTGGCACCTCTCCAGTGCAAGAACGTTCGACGCATGAACTATCCGCTGCGAGAAAGAAACAGAGAGAAAGAAAGAGAGAAAAAGCGAGCGAGAGAAAAAGAAAAGGGGAAGAGAAAGAGAGAGAGAGAGAGAGAACGGGAGACAGGAAGAGAGAAAGACAGAGAGAGACAGAGACACAGAGACGGAGAAGCAGAGAAAGAGAAAGACAAAAAGAAAGCGAAAGAGAAGAAGTGAAAGAGAAAGAGAGAGAGAGAGAAAGAAAGAGAAAGAGAGAGCGAGAGAGAGAGAGAATGAGAAAGAGACAAAACGCGAGAAAAAGAGATATAAAAAGGGACATAAAAAGAGATAGAAAAAAATAGCAAAAAAAAGAAAAAGATGCAAAGAAAGAGATAGAGAGAGAGGAGAGGGTAGAAAATGAATAATGAGATAGACCGATGTGTACTCTGAAAATTGAAGCCTGTACAGCTGCACAAAATAAATGGGAGTAACACAGATACATGCACATACAACACGAGTACACGTTTATAGATACATGTATGGGCTGAAACAAAAATGCGGACATGTACACGTGGCGTAAAGGTGTGCCTGGAATAGAACAGAATAGAATAGAACAGAATAAGAGAATAGAATAGGACAGGGATAGGAACAGGAATAGGGATTGGAATAGGAATCATCGGAATAGGAATCGGAATAAGAATAGTAAATATTCAAGGTATTTTACTTCGAACATCCCCACCCTTTAGATAATGCATTTGGGGGCCACACCACTGACTGGCGTTACGGTCGTGGGGTCCCCGGCAACGTAACAAAGCACAATGGTGTGATTCAGGTCATTCGACGACCCATGATATCACACCACCGACTGGCGATACGGACGTGAGGCCCCAGTCCAGTCGACGATCCATGGGGTCCACACCACTGACTGGCGCTACGGCCCCGTACACGGAACAAAACACGAGTGTTCGATTCAGGTCATTCGACGACCCATGCACGGGGTCACACCACTGACTGGCATTACGGACGTTGGGTCTCCGTACACGTACCAAAACACTTGTTCGATTCAGGTCAGTCGACGTTAACGTCCTGGGGTCGCCAACTTGGCACTCCAGAGCATCTCACAGAACTCCAAACAATCTCACGGTAGTCGCTGGGGTTGGGCACACGGTAGTGTCTGATTCGGGCAGGGCAGAAGGTCTCACGGTAGTCTCTGGGGTTGGGCACTCCTCGGAGTCTCACGATAGTCCGTGGGGTTGGCCAATCCAAGCAGTCTCTGGAGGGGGTAGTCTCAGCGGGCGACCGAGGGTGGGGAACAAAACCAGAATAATAACAAGAATCAGAATTAGAATAATTAAACTAAGAACTAGAATCAGATCTAGAATAAGAATCAGAATAAGAATTATAATAGAATAGAACAAAACACAACACAACCAACAGACAAGACAAGACTAGACTAACATGCAACAGGTTGAAATGGAGGGGAATGAAAAAGAATAGAACCTATTATGTTTTACATGTGCTATGTTATATTGTAGTTTAATTTTGTACTGTCCACTATAATATTAATTCTCTTGCCTGTCTCATAACACTTTCATCATATTAAATTGTGCGATATTATATTATGTTATGTTTCGCTGTGTTACCTTATGTTGTCTTATGTTTGGTTGCATGTTGTACTATCTCTCATTACAGCATAGCATGGCATAGCATAGCACTGCATAGCATAGCAGATGATATAGTATAGTATGGTGTAGTATAGTGCAATATGGTGTGTATGTATTTCTTTCTGTATGTACAGTACTCTACCGAAGCGCATTTACAAGTTTATCTGAGATCAAAACACACTACACCACAAGTTCGACGATAGTATGCTTCAGTATCATGATTATGTGTATAGTACGTATATATGAGTACCTATCTATGTACTGTATGTTATCCATAAAAAATATGCAACCTATATATATGTAGACATATCGATGTATTGGTTCATCTACATATCTATAGTGCAAAGTATATCTAAGATATCTATTTATCTATACATCTATGTCACATGTCTTTATCAATATATACGTATGAAAATGGCATATAATATGTTGACCAAGCACCGCAGCTGATGTCTCAGCTCGCTGCCGCCTCTTCCAGGGCAGCCCGCAAGTCTTTGGCGCTTCGGATGCCCACTCCAGCTAGCTTGCGCTCTGCGGCCAGAAGCCTTGGACTCAAGGGACTGCAAATCAGCACATCATCTCCGAAGTCTCCGACACAAATCTACACGTGCCAAAACTCGGTGCAGCCCCAGAAGCTCGCTTTGGCTCCAGTTTGGCCGCGCCAGCCGCAGGCCGCCGCGAAGAGCCGAGTCTTTCGGCTCCTCGCTGAGCGCCTGCAGAGCAAAAGTCGCGCGCACCTCTCCTCAGTCAGAGCCTCAGTCTCCTCAGTCTCCTCAGTCTCCTCTCTTTCTTCTTCGTCTTTGTGGCCCCGTCACGTACCTCGACTTTCTCGAGCTCTTCCCAGTCGAAGGCCTGAAGCAGCGCGATCATCCAATTTGTTGTGCAGGCGTCACAACACACAACGCGCCAAATCCAATAATAAGCCTGCACCGAAGATGTTCTGTCCATGCATGCTTACAAACGAGAGCACGACCATGAGCACCCTGAAAGGACCCCCTGCTTCCGTCCTGGTTGTGATCCATCCGCTGCTCGGGCCATGGCGGCCAGAGGCTGGGAATGCCCAGGGTTATCGGTGATGTGCTTGGGTGCCGGGGTGGGAAGTCGGAAGTCTAGCGCATCAACAGCGTTACGATGGCGGGGCTCAGAGGAACTATGAGAGGTGGACATCGGACAGCTGCGACAATGCACGAGAGTGTGACCTCCGCTCTCCGAAGAATGTCGAGGCTCACTGCAGTCGCCGTCTCCTGTACAGAAGACTTTTCACTCCTCTTGGCTAACTCTTTCAAGAGTGCCAGGCTGCGCTTGACCGGGGACTTGCGCGACACTTGCGATGGTACTGGACATGTTCACAATAGACCTATGCTGCCTGCTCCAGGCCGAGCACGAGACCACAACCTGCATGTCGAAAGTCCCTGCGGAAGCTGCGGCCCCGCCATGCTTCCCTTGTGGCACACAAAAGGCTCCCAGCAATCCTGAAGCTCGGTAAGAGTAATACGCCGGTACGAGTAGTGCAAACAAACACAGGTAGCCCCCTGCGCCCTGTGGCGCAACCGATGGACGGCATGAAGCTCAGCTTTCTGTGCGGCTCGATGGGGTTCGAGACTAAGTGTGTGCTTCAAGAACTGCGTCAATTTCACACGGTCAACCAAATGCCGCTTTGAATGCCGGGCCGAGCCGCAGTGGTCTGGTGAAACGCTCAACTGAGAGCATTTCGCGTTGACCTGGCATGGGTCAGTGGCAAAGTTGCGAGGCTCTGCACATTTGCCAGACATGCTGAAGATTACTCTTCCTGCCGCTACTTCGAAGACCGTCAATTACTTCTGCACCTTCATGCACGTACATGCCTTGGCCAAACAACCCGATGCTGCCTGCTCCCACGTCTGCCGATAGACCTCCTCGAAACAGCTGCCCATGCAGCCGTTTACTGCATATGTGCCACGATTCCAATGCTCGCAGGAGGCTTTCAATCCTCTAAAGGCAAAACACAGCGTCCTTGAAACACCAGGCTATTGAGGTGCTTGCTCCTGGACAGAGAAGAAAGCTGAAAGGGAGTCGGGAGTCTGCTTCCTGCTCCTATCTGTTCCTGCCTCCTCCTCGTCTGAAGAGTATTGGGGCCTTTGCCAGGAACCCAGCTTCAGAGCTGGAACACTCTGGAGGGCATTCTCGGGCCACCACTCGCCAGGAGCAAGCAGCCGATAGGAGGAAACGTTGTACCTCGTCTTTTGACAAGCCAGGCCGCTCCCTTCCTGGCACCCCTGCCATCCCTGAAAGCTGGCGGGGCCCCTGGGGCACTCTTCTCCCATCTGCAGTTGCTGATCCAGGTAGCGCTCCCGCCTTAGGCAGACATCTCAGCGGATCTTCTGGGAATTCGGCGCAAAACTTGCCGTGAACAGCAAAGCACGAACTCTAGCTCCGAAAATCGTCAATTGAGCACGCGATAGAGCACGGCGCAGTTACAGTATGGCGGAAGCATGTAGTCATTAAGTGAGATGCATCTGTCTCACAAGCGAAAAGAGAAGTCTCTGTCGAACTCTTGCACTCGCCAAGTCCCTGGCTGGTCCGGGTAGTAGTGCCTCAGCTCTTCTTTCTGCTCAGTCTTATGCTTGTCGTGCTTGCTTGGCGAGGCGACCAGGCGCGGCGGGGTGAGGCAAGGAGAGAAGTTGTGGTGGAGCTGACCAGTGAGGCGTTTACCAGAACTGATCTCAGACCCGTCAAACAGATCTGAAAGCTTTTGTCGTGATCAAGCTTGCGCTAAACCGTCATTCACACATGCCCTGGCACTCCTTCTGCGCCTACGTCTGTTCGACTTCTTTGCAGCCACTCTACAATACTCTACACTATGAAGCTCTCAAGCTGGCATCCAAGGCACAGAACTTCAAGCCACAGCTCCTGAAGCAGTCACTCCAGACTCTAAGGCCACCCCGATGAGCACTTCTCTACCGACTGTTCTCTGAGCTCCCCTCCTCGCGGAGTGCCTTGATGTTTATCTTCCGTCGCTCGAACTCGAAGTCCGAGGTGTCGAGGGGCCCTCGAACGGGCTCGTCCTCGAGGCGCAGTGGCGAGACACCGCACCACACTCCCGCTCTCTCCCTCCCCACCCCACCTCCGGGCAGTACAGCTGCGAGACGTAAGATAGCGTAAGTGCCTCACCGCGGAGGACAGGGCGTCTGCATGCGTCAGCACGGCGACAACAAAAATCGTCACAGCATGTCAAATGAAGTTCGCAAGCCGATACGAGTCTGAGCGGAAGAGTGTTGCTCGCGCAGAGAGCAGCAGCGGGAAACACAGAGCTACAGACATTCAGTCCATCTATGATACTGGCGAAGCGAGCACCCACATGCCTCCTTCTGTCCGGAGCAACAACAACAAATTCGACTTCCGCAAAGCCACGAATGCCAGCAGGCCTCGGTGACGGCCACCCGCTGCTCTGGGTCGAAGCGCAGGGTCGCACTGAGGAACTCCATGGCACTGGGGTTGGCCTCAATGCCGCAGCGTCACAGCGGTGCGAAGAAGCTGCAGCCACCTGTGGCCACTCCTTTAAGTGGCGTCTCAGTCCGTCTGAGTCCTTGGCGTTCGGGAATACCTCCTGCAAGCTCTGCGCCTTAGTAGCCGAACGGCCTGCGGCCACCCGGGCATGGCACGGAGCTGCACAGCTTCTTGAAGCTGAAAACTAGAGGACTTGGCTGTGTCTGACAAAGGCCAAGAGGCGGTTGTGGCCGGTAGCGACTCGATGAAGCGCCTGCACTCATGGATGAGTCTCACGCCTGTTCCTGCAGTTTTGCACCAACACTGACAGCCTAATTTCGTTTGTGCGCTCGAACCGTTGAAAGCCGCCTGCACTTCTCGTTCTTGATCTTGTTGAGCTCCTTCAGGATGAGAAACGTGTGAGGCCCACGAGGTGGGGAAGCGAAGGTGGCTTGCTTTTCCAATCATACCGCAAGCCCCACCATCATGTCGCATATCCGTTTGCATGTGACGTACAAGACACCTCTGCGAAGTCTGCCCCGCCTCAGCACTGGGCTTCCCAAGGAAGGAGATGATCGACTGGCGAGTGCAAACGGACTTCTTGGGTCAAGCTGGCAACTCTTCACGTCTCAGCTCTCAATCGAGCCTGCAGCTGGTGCTGCGTGTTGTGCCCCGGGAAAAGAGGCTTGCGTTCCAGCATCTCGCATTGCAGAAAATTCGAAGCCAGCTCACAGATCTAGACCACAAGCCCAGTGAGGTCTCTCTCTGCTGCGCACACACTCGGACTCTTGGTCTCTGGGCATCTTACTCTCTCTTCTTCTGCGGGGTTCAGGGAGCAGGTCAGGCTCCCCGCGCCGGTTGGCGCGCCACTGTTGTGGGGCCTTGTGGGGGCGTCGGAAAAAGACACGGGTGCTCGGTCTGTTGAAGAAAACACGGATGCAAGGTTTAAGGTAAAGGAATCAGCTCTCTCTTTCTCTCTCTCTTTGCTTTGCTTTGCTTAGGGGTCAAGGGGGCGCTCTCTCTCTCTCTGTCTCTCTCTTTCATCAACTGGGTCGGTTCGACAACAAACAACGTTCAACTGGAAAAAGAGTCCGGAGCGTGTGTCTTTCCTCGCATCTGAATCTAAACCAAACCGCAGTCAGCCCCAGCCTCGGCAAAGATGCAGCCAATTGACCTCGGCCCGGAGTTCAGATTTCGTATAGTTTCGAAATCAATCGCAAGCAATGTCCGTATGCAGGCAAAGACAAAGGCAAGCATTGCCAAGACGGCTCACTCTAACGCACTCTAACATCAAAGCTCAAGAAGCCAGATGTCAATCGCTGTGGTGTAGTCCACCCAGGAACACAAGACCTTCCAGGAACAATCCCTTCTGCATACTGCGGCCAATGCAGAGAAACCGGGTGCAACAACGAATTGCGCCAACCGGGTGTCTGGAGACTCAACAACATCAGCTGAAACTCTCACTATCTCTCTCTGCAAGGTGTCATGCCTCTGGAGCCCGATACCAACGTGTACAAACCTGGGTGCAGCCGCAGAGACATGTCCAGTCGTCCCGAGGTTTCAGTATGCAGCGCTTGGACAAAGTCATTTGAGGACCCTGAGGATGCCACGTATTCTGTCATCGGACAGGTCTGAAACTCCTGAACAGCACCAGCATGCGGAACTTTCATCAGAGTGCACACCATGTCAGGTCTCTCCTTCGAGAAACTCACCCTTGCCAGGCCGAAGTCACAGATCTTCAGGTCACCTGCACATGTGCAGAATGTTCGTTGACAAGGCAGCCCATGACGTCTTGACACCAAGGAACAGTTGCCGTTGACCAGCAAGTTTCGCGGCCTCGCAAACCGATTCCACCGCTCCAGATCTGGGAAAACTTTTAGGCCAGTAGACCGAGACCCGTGCTTGAGATCTCTGTGAATGACCTAAGTCAACTCACATCTCATGCGCTCCCAAGTGCCCGAAGAGGGACGGCACAAAGAACCTGGCCTGTGCAGAATGAACATACTTCATTCCACGCAGGATCTGGTAGAGGAAGAACTGGCAGTGATCGTCCTGCCGAGCATGGGTTCCACTAGGGCCGACCTCTGGCCCAAATATCCTACCTTTCCCAGCGAATCTTTCATTCCGAAGCAGGAAATGCCTAGGTTGAGCCAAGCGACGGTCAGTGGCTGTGTCGACTTCAGTATCGATGCCAAGTCCTTACAAGCCAAGCAAGGGTGGACAGATCCGCTGCGGCAATTCTCTCACTGTCACGACTCCACAGAACATTGAATGGATCGGGTTTCTGGCAATTGCTGGCTATTTCGGCCCATGCGTGCTACAAACCCGAGAAGCCTGACCGTGTACCAGAAGCCAGAACCAAGCCGACCCCACGACTAATCCTTCATCGAAGCCGACAGCTCCAAATTCAATTCCGTGCACACACCCAAACAGACCGAGACATGCGTACGCAATTGGGAAACAGACAACAGTTAAAAGCAAACAAAAGAACTAGCAAAAAAGAAGACAAGCAAGCAAGCAAGCAAGGAGGCAAGCAAGCAAGCAAAGCAGCAAAGCAAGCAAAGCAAGCAAGGAAGCAGGCAAATAGCAACACCAAAACACAAAACACCACAAAACGCAGACGCAGCGAGGCAGAGAGTCAGAGAGGGTGAGAGAGGTGCCTCCAAGAAGAGTGTGAGCAAATGAAGAGCACCTCTGATTAAGCCTGCCGCGGTTTCCATGAGCTCTGAGATAACGTAGATGTCCTCTGATGCTCTCGTTCCAAAGTTTCCGCACCATTCCGGCGTGCTTGTCTCGAGCCTCGAAGTCATCCTTTGATCCAGCCAGGAATATGTTCCTGCAAACAATAACTTCTGAATCACCGTTCTCTTGATCAGCGTTCGAAAAAACAAGAAGCTGCCCCTAGCCCTCGCAACTGAAGCTCCTCACATCGATCAAATTCTCGTGCTGCAGGTGCCGGAGAATCCGCAGCTCGCGCAGAGTTCGCTTCGTGACTTGGAAAAACGAAACAGGGCAACAAACCATGGCTGAGCATGCTTGAAACAGACAACACATCCTAGCTTCACGTTTTACTCAAGTCAAGTGAGACTCAATCACAGCACTGTTTCGCAAGGTGACAAGGGCTTCCGAGTCCCGGGCAGGTGATGTGCTCAAACCTGAGAACATCCGAATGCTACCTTCTCCAGACGTGATCCCTAAATGGACACGAACCGGGCCGATGCCGCTTGGCATTCCTCGCCAAGTGGCGCATTCTCAATCTTCTTCACTGCGACCGACTCCTGGGTCTCCTCGTCCTGCAAGCTAAGCAGCCCGTCCGAAGCGGCGAAATTAACATTCGGTATTGACGAACTTCAAAAGCATGTGTTCAAGGCAAGCAAAAAAGTCCTGCGCAGCGCAGACAATGCCGTAGGCACCCTGGCCCACTTGCTCGAGGACTGTGTACCTGACATGCTGAAGTGATTCTTCATCGGAAAGCGTCTCAGCGGTTACAAAAAAACAAACAAGTTTCCAGACAACTGATGCTTCCGACTCCACCGACCAGATGCTGGGGGATGGCCAAAAACTCGGATCGCGACCAGCCTCTTCGACACTTGGAAGTTGGTGCCATGAACGATGTAACACGCCCTCAGCAATTGTGCAGTCATTGGCAGGCCGCGCCGCCACTATAGCCCCGAAATGCACCTCGGAGGTGAAAGCCAAGATCCGCGCGTGTCCAAATTCAAGGAGTTCAGCGACATGCACGCGATGATCGCAAAAAGGCACACCTGCACAGTGTTCGGAAACACTGGTGTCCACATCTGTCGTAAACGAAACAGCTCAGCACATGCTGAAGGGTAGCACTGCGCATGATCGAAGAATGCAAATCACCGTCATCAACACCTACACTCTGCAGTTCTGCGAAATCACGAGGACCCTAGTAACCAATCCGGTACGACCCGACATTCGTCCACCGGCTATCTCAGGTCGGGGCATCCCTCTGCCACGGCTGGGTTTCCAGTGCTACAGAGAGATCACGCCACTCCAAGCTTCAAGCCGAAACAGCCCAGTCTCACGTTTATGCTTTCGGACGGAAACACAACCGATGAAGACTTCGCAATGCCGTCTTTGTCAAAGCTGATCGATGCAGGAAATTAGCCTTATGTTTGCCAAAATTTCATCAATGAGGGTGCAGTCTTGGGTTGTCAGTCTCCTTGCACCCTTGTTACTTACAGGAACATTTTGGATTTCATTGCAATTATGAGAAAACCTGTAGACCCGTCGAAATGGTGTGGGACCAAACACTTTCAAAAAGGTTCCTGGAAGATCCAATGCTTTCCGACCCGGTTTGCGCCCCGATACACCTGCCGAAGGATTGGTGCCATGCATGGCAATTCATCTTGACACGCCCTCCCCCATGACCGCATGTTTTTACAAACCCCCACGGATGTGCAACGGGCTCCCTTGGTTTTCACCACATTAGGTGGGCTCGTGTTGTGGATTCTTGTGGTTGTTGCAAAAAGGCTAAACGTGCGTTTCGTATGGGTCCCGCTGGCTTTTGTTTTCTGGCTGGGCTCCAGTGGGTTCCGCTTCTGATTCCTGCAGCCCTAAACATATGAGGGCATTCAAAAATAGAATATAAATGCAGGATATGTTTGCACTTTCACCAACATATAAAGGGAATAAAATTCTGGCTGACACTCGCTCACCTTGGTTTTGCAGTTGGAGATAGCGACTGCCTGAGTCGTAAGAAGAAGCACTGATGGTCCATGAGCTCGATGCTCGAACACTTCAAGTCGACAAGGACCAAGCGCAAGCGCCACGGCTGTTGAGATGCAATGCTGCATCCGCGGCCTGCCGGCTGCACCTGTGCATGAGGATACTCCAAGCGTTTGGCCAAGTGGTCACCAAGTGGGTTATCCGCGTGCCCGCAATACCGAAAACACCCACCCGTTGTGCTTGTTGCAGGCGACAAGACTTCAAGACAACAGCACTCTGCGCAAGGTGCCTCCATTGCAAGATGAACTCCTGTCGCCGCGCTCAGAAACAAGAGCGACTGCACTGCACGGATCACACCGCGAAAAGAGATCACACGCAAAGAACGGCATAAAGCAACGAACAAGCAAAATTTCCAACAGTCAACCCTTGTACAGTTGCCGCGAAGTTGCCGCAAGGGCACAGGTGCCCTTCAAGCTCAAAACCGACCAGCACGCAAGATTTCTCCACCGCAGATCTGAGAGACAAGCATGCGCGGAGTGTACAACAGCGGAAGCTGCCCAGTGAGAGGATGCGCCAGGCGTGGGAAACGGCCGTCTAACTAGGAAAACCGCCTGAACAATTTTGCGGCATCTCTCCCGCCAGCAAGAACCCATAGAGGCAAAAGACGAACATGGGAATTAACCAGCACAAGGACCGCCTTCAAGTCTCCTTGAGTCCCCCGCATTCAGGGGCCTTTAATACTTGCATCAACAAAGCAACCACACAAACCAGCCACGAGAAACCTGTCCCAAAACAAGATGCAAACAATAACATTGTTTTTTTTTGCGTGGACAGGCCTCGTCGACGGCGGCTGCCGCACTCGGTCCTAGGTTAAGTAAGCACCAAGAAAGCTGCCAAAAGCGGTGAAACAAGCTGCGAACTTACGGACTTTGTCAGAAAAGGTCGTTTAGCGGTTCATTACAACCTCATATGAACAGCAGCTCTGCTCAGATGCCCCGCTTCCCAGATTTCAGGGTCGCGCAATGGCAAGCACATCGCCCCGCTTCCCGTAATTCATGGGTCGCGCAATGGCAAGTCCATCGCCCGCAAACATGGGTCGCGCAATGGCACATTCTGGCAGTGGCAGTCCACTGTAGGACCTAAAGGCAGAGCAGATCAGCGGCCCGCAGACTACTTGAGATCAGTCAGATTGCACGGACGCGGATAAGTTGCAATGGCTGACCGTTCTGTTCTGCGCTCCTCCCACGAAAGATGGCGGATGAGACTGATAAGATGGTCGTCAAAAAGGCAGCGAGCTCTCAGAAATGGCCCCAAATGGCCACGCACTGATCTAGATGCGACGAGACTAAATGCCCTGCACACAAGAGAAGCAAAAGTGAAGAAAATGCTCCAACTAGCCACCTGTTGCCAGATGCAAACAATAACAAAGTAAGACTTGGGACAACGTTGGCGACAGTGCTGCAGTCATCTGCTCAGAGAGTTCGAACTCAGTTGTAAACCTGTTTGTCGGAGACTGCAAGAAGCAGAGTTACAGACTTTTTAGAGGCATGCTCCATCAGTTCGTTGAAGGGAAAGACTTGGAAGAAGAATTAAAGAGGCTAAGAAGAATTCCACAACGAAAAAAAATCTTCAACAACAAGAATGAACACACGTCTTTTAGCAATTGCTTCACGTTTTTGAAAGCTCAAATATCGTTTCTCTCTCTATGGTAGGGGTATGGCAGATGCATTTCTGTTCACTTACTCAGAAGCGATACCCCCCTAAAATTCCGACTTTTGGGCCTGCTCGATTCTTCGCTCTACAGGCTCAGAGCTCAAAGATCTTCGGGGCTTCAAAATGCTTGCAACAGCCGTTTTCGCGAGCATGCGGCTTCGAAACGGAGCGAGATGGCTCAGAGAGCTCGAATTTCGCATGCTACATGTGCTACATGCCTAGTAGCATCAAAAAATCCATGCTACACGTGCTACATGCCTTGTAGCATCAAAAAATCCATGCTACACGTG